TTTAGATAAAAAGATATTTTAATGAAACACAACTTTAGATATGGTTTTAATTTTTAATACACGTTTAAAATACTCCAAAAACTATTTTTGCGTGTATTTTCTCGCCTCTGACGTCACAATCTAACATGGCCGCGGTGAGTATAAAAAAAACCATAAAAAAACATTGCGCAAAATCACAATTTCTTTAATATGCGAAAAAGATTACGCAATTAAAACATGTCAGATTTGTTCTTGATATAATAAATTCTTTAAAAAATTATAATTAATTTATCTAAAAAAATATAATATATTATATATAATATATAATAATAAATTTATTCATTTCTCATATTTATATATAATAAATTTATCTCGAAAAATTATAATAGAAAGGAATTATGGAAAAAAATTTACACATTTAAACTCGACATACTTGCTTTCATTCTTCAGCAATTAAATCCTGCATTTTATCACAGAACTTATGTGCCTAATTTATTCACAGTTTACGCACATTTATATAATCTAAATCGGCTTGTATCGACGTTCAAAAGTTTCTATCTTGGCGAATTATATAATTCGTAATAAATGACGATGAGTATATCGTTTTTGATATTATATCTTGATATTGCATCATTTTCTATGACTGTAAACTTCTAAATGTATTTTATATATGTTTCATCTTTATTATTTTTTTCACGTTGGTGATTATAGGGAAATCGCGAGAGAGTGAGATGTCGGGAAAATCAATACATCTTGTGGTTTATTGTGTGTGTACATCGACATAACTTAACATTTTTAACTCTGAAGTGTCAATTCAATGAGAATGAGCAAATACTATTAACTAACTTGGTCTGTATTTATTCTTTCTACATGCTTTGCACATAACAATGTCATTAAAAATTTTAATCTGAGAAGAGATAAAAAGAATGTTTTTAAAAATCTGTCTATTATTATTTTATGCATAGAAATAGACACACTTTTAAAAACATTCTTAATTTTTATCTCTTCTCAAATTAAAATTTTAATATATATTGATTTGTTTAATATATATATTTTTAATATATATAATTACATATATAAATAAATAAGAAATTAAATATATATGTTACTTTCGTATTTTTAATTTTACAATTGCAATTATAATTGTACAATAATTACTGAATATATTTATAAGATTATAGTATTTTTTTATGTTCTTATGTTTTTAACAAATATCTCACTTTTAGGGATCAATTTCTTAATTTTAATTTATGTCTGCTTTAAAAAGAAAGAGTATTTGTTGAACGCAGTTTGAAATAAAATTGTATCAAAATTACAATATATAATCTAAAAACAATCTAAAAAACAATTGTTAGCTAAAGATTAGAGTTTGAAAAGCAAAATAGTCAGTTTTGTGTAGTTTTTTATTTTATTAATACAAATATATTTTTAATTTTTAATTAAATAATAGGTTAAAACTTACCGACGTAGAATGCAAAACTTATAATAAACGATTTTATTGATTTTTATATAAATATTTAGAGATTTGTTTAAATAAAAAAATTCATGATATATTATGTTGTTCCCCGCCAATCAATATTAATTAAGACATATTAACTCAGCCAAATAAATTATACAAAGAATTATACAGCAATATTAATTCTTAACGACAATTATTTATTAATTTTCCAAATTATTAAAATACACGATTTTAACATATGATGATAATTTTTTATGACTTTATATACTTTTTAAAGAATGGATAAAATAATAAATACATCAGTTTATAGTTACCATAATTCAATAATAGTTTTTATTTTTATTATTGAACACAGTGTTACAATGTTCTGTATTTTTATAATGTTATATAAAAGAGAAAGATAGAAAAAAGCGAGAGATTCAGGAGGAGACCGTATTGCTATGACAAATGTAAAAAAAAATATTTTAATTGTTTATTTTTAATGTTGTATATAAAGCTTAATTAGAACATTATTAATACTAATAAAGATATTAGACGTAACGGTGGTTACAAAGAACTTATGAATAATTAATGTTAAACATTAGCATCAAATAGAGTTTACACGTGACCGATAATTATGCCTAGGTAAACGTAGACGTAAACCAATATATCTTGTGGTTTATGTTGACATAAGTAAATGTTTTGACTATGAAAAGTCAATTCAAGCAAAATAAGCAAATATTACCAACCACCAATTAATATATGATTGACTAAGCTATAAAAATTATAGAAATATATAAATTATAATTTATAGAAATTAATAGTGCACTTTTAATTACTACTGTAATTAACTAATTATTTTCATTGACAACTTATGATATTGATTTTTATTGTTCAATCGGTTTTGTTTTTCAGCTAGTTATATACATATATCGTAAATTGTAATTATTGCACAGATGTATAGTTTAGCTATTATTACAAATAAAGAATGAAAATTTTTATTTTTTTTATTTATTTCTAATTTTATATTTATGTTTTTTAAATTTAAATTTATATTTTTGCTTTTCTGAAATTATCTTGATTTTATTTTGAAATTACTCTTTTGCAAATATTATTCTGAACAGATGATATAAGATGCACAAAGGAGGATGTTAAAGAAGGTCGATTTCCCGACTATCGATGGAACCTAAAATTCGAGTTCTATATGAGTATCTATAAACTATATAAGATGTAAAAATGATGGTCTTTTTCAGATCGATCGAATGACACTATTTTCAATAGTTTTGATAGATTTTCAATACTTTCCCCAAGTTTCTAGAAAAAAAGACCATCATTTTTACATCTTATATGGTTCATAGATACCCATGGAACTCGAATTTTAGGTTCCATCGATAGTCGAGAAATCGACTTTTTTAACATTCTCTTTTCTTAAAAATAATTAAGTGGTTGCAGATAAAAATCATATATAGGATAGTTTATATACTAATTTGTAAATAACAATATAATACAATTGTGTCATATATATTGAATTGTTGTAAAATAAATTAATGTTATATTTATCCTTGAATAAAATTATGCACATGACTGTCGATTTTGTAATGATAAAATAATTATTATCACATTTATTATACTAGTGTCGAACTCTTGATTTATTTACAGAGAATCACAAGAAAATGATATTCTTTTTATTTCTGCAAAAATGTAATTATATGTATATATATTTTTATATAATACTTTTTGATGCTACTGCGAACAATAAGAAAAATAAGACAGAAGTTTTTACAAGAGAAAACAATGATCTAAAATAATTAGAAGATTCGCGTCTCGAATTTTTCTATCTAATTTTATGTACTTACATTAAGAAAAAATGAGGGATAAAGAGGTTTTTGATATTTTAATTATTATTATTATATATATGAGAAAATAAAATAATATAAAATATATCTGGTACAAAAATTATTTATTGGATAGTTAAAGCATATACATATGTATATAAAATACGTATAGTAAGTTGAAGAAATTCATATTTTATGTCGAAATAATAATTAAAAATGCTATTTGAAAAAATGGCGAAATACTTTCGTATTTTTTCTATTTTAATTGCGTTTTAATTTAGAGAAAGTATAGTCTCTCTTGTACAAATATAATATTAACTCCATGACTCGTTAAGTCTTCCTTTCCTGTTGACCGTTTTGATTAATCTTAGGTCAACCTGCATACAAACAAAAAAAAAACGCATGCATATCAATTAATCAGACCTACATTTTAAACAATACTTAGATCGCAATGGAGCAAGGTGCAATGAAACATGCAAATATCGAATTATTTAGATATTGCTTAAATACGCGATAAATTAAAGGTCTTTCTTCATCAAACCGTACGTGCGCAGCCTTATGATCAAGTAATTTTAAAATAATAATTATTAATTAAAAACGTACACCTACTTTTCCCAAGATTCGAAAGTCTATATTGCGCTTTTATTTGGAAGCGAATCGAAAGGGAAAATTGTTAGATTTTAATGTCGTCTATAATATGTGTTATCAATTTTATTATTTATTTATTTTGACATGTTTCAATTTGCATTGAACTGTGAATCTAAGGAAAAGCAAATTGAATAAAATATTAAAGCGTCTTTTTAATTATTATAGCGTTATTATACTCTTATGTAATAATGCATAAAAAATATTAAAAATTTCCAAATATTGGCACGTTTTTCGTTAATAAATTAGCTAAAATAGTTAAATTAGTTAAAGTAGTATAATAATGGCATTATCTCTTATATTTACGTAATACATATCAACGCAAGATAAGATCAATTGTACATAGTTATGCAGGAAGAAAGCTAACTTCGAAAGTAATTTCTGTAGCCAAATTATGATTAAGAGTAAAAAGTAAGGTCGAGAAAAATAAAAAATAAGTAAAAAATAAATTAAAAATAAAACGTAACAGTTTTTGTCAAGTTCGGCAAATTAAAAAATCCAAAAATTGATCTTTTTCTGTACAACTACATTACAATTATAGTTTCAATTCTAGATAAATACATCCTGAAACAAGATGAGGTAGTAATAAATATGTACATATACAAAATCATATTACAACTTTTAACAGAAGTATACAAGGCCTAAAATAAGATAAATAATTTGTATACATATGGGTATTCGTTTCCGAGATACATACAAATAATGCAAAGTTATTCACGATTGTAATATCAATTGAAAAAAATCAGAATTAATTTAATTTAATAAAATTTTTTTTGCAAAATTTTTTTACTTTAGAAATCTCTACTATTGTTTATTATCTTCTAATTTTCATATACAGGATATCCCATTTTAATTAATGATGTCGAATATTGCTGAATCTGTCGCTGCATAACGAGAAAATATTTCATATAAAAAAAGTTAAAAGAGAAGAAAGTTGATATTCTTGTGTTTTAATTAAGATTGAAGGTCAACTTAATTTTTTTAATCAAGCTTTTTTTATATAAATCGATTTGTCGCAATATTTTTGGCATTAAAAATTAATAGTTACAGTTTCAACAATATTATAATATTAATATTATATTATATAAATTATAATTCGATTATCTTAAAATGGGATATATCCTGTATAAATATGTATAATTGTTATAATACTTAACACACACATAGTTATACTTAATTAAGCAAGTTTCATATTTTATATATTCAGTCAGTCGTTTCGACTAGCGTTGCTATAATAGGCTTAGTGCAAATCATCCAGGTATATACCATCCAAACAAGGAAAGCCCCGAACACTATTTTGAGCAAACAATCGGCGATAAATAGATACATAAAAATCTGTCTTGCACGTGGCAGTGTCGAAGGATCGTCCTTTAAACAATACTGCCTTGTACCTAAGATATATACCAATAAATATTCGCTCCAAGGGATAATCTTTGTATCCATGAAAAACGTTTCTCTGTCCGCGGGACACAATCGATGCTCCAAATTACGCAAATTGTCGTTCCTGCAATTAAATTCATGCGGAATAAAAAAATTAATTTTTATCCTTTTACTCGAATCTTTTAAGATAATCCTAAACGTCGTCCTGTTTTATCGATAGAACAAAAAAAGTTTTAATTTTTTAATTAAAAAAACTTTTTAACAAAATCGGTAGATCCCCGCTTTGTTTCTATGTATACTTTAATCGTGGAAGAGCATTTATTATTCCATTCAATCAATAAAAAGAAAAGGGTGCGCAAAAATTATTTCATTGATAAAACATCATTTTTGTGCTTTCATTTCTTTTTATTGATTGAATAGAATAATAAATGCTTTTTCACGATTAAAATGCATATAGAAACAAAGCGCGAACCTATCGATTTTATATTAAAAACAAAAAATGTTTTTAAATTAACAAATTAAATTTTTTTTCTTAGCACATACAATCGGTAAATTTGTGCTTTATTTTTATATGTACTTTAATTGTGGAAAAGCATTTATTATTCTATTCAATCAATAAAAAGAAAAGAGAAAAAGGTGCTTAAAAATTATGTTTTATCGATAAAATAGGATGACATTTAGGATCTCCGCAAGATTCTAAAGCTGTCCGTTTAAAAATAAATTTTTTTGATTTTTAACATAAAATTGATAGGTCCCCGTTTCATTTCTATATGTATTTTAATCGTGGAAAAGCATTTATTATTCTATTCAATCAGTAAAAAGAAAAATGTGCACAAAATGATTATTTGTCGGTAAAATAAGACGGCTTTATAATTTGAATAAATAGTGAGAGCTCTCCTTACCGAAAGATCCATTGCTTCATGGTATAATACTGAAGCAATTCTAATCCGACGTTCACTCTATTTTGTACTCGTATCATAAAAGGTTTATTCCCGGTAACGATGAGTAAAGCGTCTATTAGATACGCGGGTATAGTATGCAGCAACAGGATGGCAAACCAGTGTAGAATCTTGGAGGTTGTTATTCTTCCACCGGGATACCAAAGCGGTTCTGAATGAAACGTAACGTGTTATGTTTATATTACATATGTTTATTTAGCTTACAAGTTGTTTTGCCAGTTGGTGATACTTACGCGAGAACGGGTTCGTGAGCACATGTTTTTTCCCCGTTTCCAGTGCTTCGCCCCAAGATATTGGATTTTCCTGATTCTGCGTCGCATTTAAAAATATCGGCTCGGCAGGCTTTTCCGATCCGACCTGCCAAGCCAGAGCAATCGTCGCGTTTACCGCCATATCGCAAGGCACTATATCAGTAAAGTAATTTGCGTTGCAGAGCATGGATCGGATGACTCCTTTGCCAGCCCCGATCATTAATCCGGTCGGGCCGTTCATGTTGTCCACCCAACCAGGTACCGGTTCCTTCCAAGACGCTACCACTGAAATACAAGTGTCAACATTAGTTTTTGGCAGAGATATGCAAAATAGGTCCAAACCCCCATTTGGAATAATTTGAAATTGCAAAATGCATTCAAATAGAAAATGAAAAATAGGCATTTCTAAAAATGGTTTCTTTTTAAATAAAAATATTTTTTCCAGTTATTTTTATACATACAAAGTGTTTTATTTTAATTTTCCTAGGCAAAAATAGCTCTGAAATTAAGCAAAATACAAAAAAAGATTTAATAGAAGTTATAGGATTTCAAGGGGGAAAGAAGCGCTATTGACTTACTTAAAGAGCAAGTTTCAATGTCATTTGTTTTTTTAATAGAACTATTTCAACTTTTTATATAAATCGATTTGTCGCAATATTCACTATAAAAAGTTATTTAATTTTTTTTTAACTATCCAATAATAATAATTTGTTAAAAAAATAATTATTTTATTTTAAGAGGCTGTAGTTTCGTATTATTGATCAAAAATTGAGATTAGATTCGACTATAAATCTATTTATTGGTTATATGGATTGTTTATTACCTGAAATTATAAGCTAACGCGGTTTGTAAATATTAATACTTTAATTGTGGAAAAGGATTGATCAATCTGCAGCCAATCAAAATATAAATAAAAAAATCATCATTCACTTTTAATAATAATTTTATAACTTTTTTAAAAATTGATTTGCTTAAAAATCAAATCATGCATAAAAATTCTATTTATATTTTATAATTATATGCCACGTAATAAATACTAAAATCGAAAATATGTGTTTAGGAAAAATTCCTTACCTATCGACGGGCGTATAACTCCTGCGGGTAGTCCACATCTTGACACGTAATCTTCACTGAGTGCCTTACTGTAGGCATACGTGTTAGGTTGATCACCCAATAGTTGTGGTTTCATTGTCTCTATCATTTCATTTGACATCGTATTAATTATGTGAATAATACCTTCCGCTGAGACATTAGTTTGATAAGCACGTTCTTCCAATATCGACTCGCCGCATTGACAAAAAGATGTCGAAATGTGAATAAACGATTCGAGTACGGACATCTGAAACATATATAATATTTTATTTTGTAGTATAGGGTGTTCCATAGGAAATTGCTGAAACGAATCAGATGTCATTTTTTAATGCATGCAGTTATTGAGAAAACAAAAATTGTTTTGGAAAGAGGAAAGTCTGCAGTTTTTAATGGATAAATAAAATGTTTGTATACCAGTTTATATTTTATTGAAAAAGTGCTAATAATCACAGAAAATCACATAAACTAATGATACATATTTTCAACAGTACCAGATTTAATAGCAGCTACATTACAAAAATTCAGAAATAAAAATTATATACATAATTAAAATTTGCCAAATTAAAATTATGTACGTAATAGATATTCAAAAATTAAAATTAAAATATAAAATATATAATAGAATATAAAATTAAAATATAAATTTTTAATACAATATACACTGTAGCATCAATAATTATATCTGCATTATTTTTAATGAAAATTATTGAATTGTATTTCTCAAAATTAGTATTCTACTATCAGTTTACTGTATACTAACAGTAATTAACTATCATAAGTAAACTTGATACCAAAACTGAGTTTGATTTATAAGTCGACACAATTACTTTTACTTGTAACTTCCTACTATATTAACAAATCTGTTTGTAAATACTAAATTTATGTACTATATGTTATATATACATATATCATTTCTTTTATAACCGAATATAATTACGCACGCAAAGCGAAGTTATATTATTCTTTGATAATAAAATCTTAAAAATTGCGACGCATGCATGCAAAAATTATTATTGCAATAAATACATAAAAATATATTAATTATGCAACGCATAAAAATTTAATATTTAAATCTTTAATTGAAAATATGAACGAAAAAATAAAATTTTTTACAAAAATTTTGTATGATCAAATATGTTTATTAATACAAAATATTTTTATGCAAGCTGCATCTTCAAAAAGCAATTACATACTAATAAAGCATGTACGTATATAAAATAATATTTATTTATATTCCTTACATTGATACTTCTAAATCAACATACACACAAACAGAGATTATCAAAATAATATTTATAATTTTTTTACGTTTTTATTAGATTCGTGCGAAACTCCATACTCCATATATCCGTCACGCTGCGCGGTTCGCGCGAAACTGATTCTCGTGCGAGGTATCGCGAGCGTAAAGTCGAGATCACGTGACCAGCGGACCCGCGCTTCGCATGTGACCACTGGTCATGTGACCATCGGTTCCGCACTCCGCGCTCGTAATAGCCCGCATTTGTTCGTATTTTCTGTTAAAGATTTAAATATTGAATTTTTATGCGTTACATAATTAAATTAATATATTTTTTATACATTTTGATTGCAATAATTTTTGCGCATGCATCGCATGCATTAAATTATAATTTTATACATGCGTTGCAATTTTTAAGGTTTTATTATCAAAGAATAATATAACCTCGCTTCGCGCACGTAATTATATTCGATTAAACCAAACAAAATAAGAAAAATATATAAAGAAATACATATATATACAAAATAGTTCTCAAACGATACAATAAAAATTCGGCAAATTAAAATTATATATACATAATAGAAATTCAATAAATTAAAATTATATACATAATAGAAATTCGGGAATTAAAAGTGTATATAATAGAAATTTGGCGAATTAAAATTATAGTCATAACATCAAGCAACTATTATTGCAAGATTAACAATTTGACAATTGTCAAATAAACAACAGAAACGATATCGAAGAAGCGCGCGCTTGTGTTGTCTAGTCCATTAAAACCTGCCTTTCCTCTTTCTAACACAATTTTTGTTTTCTCAATAAGTGCATGCATTAAAAAATGACAGCTGATTAGTTTCAGCAATTTATTACGGGATATCCTGTATTTTCTAATACCGAATAAAGTTATTTTTAATTCTAGAAGGAAACCAAAATCGACATAATGGCTTAAAATTTCTTAAAAAATATATCTTTATTTTTTTACAACTTTTCTTAGTGAATTTCATAATTAAAAAATTATAAATATTATTTTAATTTCTGTGTGTGTGTATGTTGATTTTGAAGTATCAATAGTAAGGAATATAAATAAATATTATTTTATATACTTATATGCTTTATTAGTATGTATTTGCTTTTTGGAGATGCAGCTTGCATAAAAATATTTTGTATTAATAAAATATTCAATTTTAATAGATACAAAAATGTTTTTCCTTAAAATTTTATTTTATCTATAAATAATAAATAAAAACAATAAGGTGTAATTTTATTATACAAACACGATAAATTTGTATGTATTAATAATTTATCGCAATATTTTATAATTTTTTTATACTTTCTGTATTTTTCAATGAGCATGATGATTTTGGATATTAATTCTTTAAATGTCAATTTTTGCCTGCGTTACAAGAAAATGTTTGCTTGAAACAATAGTATATATAAAATAATTTGACTCTTTAAAAATATAACCTGATCGTTCATAAATATCTATAAGTACTATAATTTCCTAGAATTACTTAATACTTTCATACAAAACTATAAATACAAAAAAAATTAAGTAATATATATCTATAAGTACTATAATTTTCTAGAATTACTTAATACTTTCATACAAAACTATAAATACAAAAAAAATTAAGTAATATATTGATTTTATGTTGATGAGATTTTTTTAAATCATTTTATAAAATTATTTAAGGAGGCTTTTTCCATAAAAAAATAATTTTAAAAAATTGTATTAGCATAAAGTTTAAAATTTTATAAAAATATATTTTTAACATATATAATTTTAATAAACAACTTTCGAAAGATATTTATAAAATTATAATACTTTGTAAAAATAGGCGCAGACAGAAATGAACATATACTACTAATAAACATATCCACGTCACAATAATAAATTATTAAATAATATTAGGCCATGTGTAACGAGCAAAAAAATTTTTATTAATTCTTGGAAAAAATTTTTTAATTTGAAAAAACCATTTGACAAACGTTTCGACCTGTACTTGGTCTTCTTCAGTGCGCAGTAATCGTTATGATAATTAAATAAATAAAAATAAAAATAAAAATAAAATTAAATAATAATAAGTCGCAATATCATGTCAAGTAAATTAAATATCCACGTCACATTCTAGGTACTTATGTTTTTCAAAGAATTGTATAGCTTAACATTAATCTTTGTAAGTACTTACATATATACATATATATGTCCGTGCATTATTATCTGAATATTTTTGAATAGTAAAGAAGCGATTAGTATGCTCTTGTGCTCTTTGCAAAAGAGACAGATAGAATTTTAATGCCGAAAAAATTGAGAACAAGATCGACAAATTCTCTTAAAAATCAAGAGAGAAAACTTTTATGATGACAAATTTATAGAGTCCAAATTATATTCTTTTTTTACTTTATTTAGAAAGGAAGAATATATTTAAATTTAAATTTTTAGTCGTTTAAAAAATTTATTTTATCGAAAGTTAAATGAATATTTAAAATCATCAAAAAATTGATTTTAATAAAATAGAATCTCAAGTATAAGAAAGAAAATTTTAAAAATTATTCTGATTTTTTTATACATGTATTTTAGTGTTGAGAAAAAAGAACATGAAGGTAGGTAGTTTGTCAAGCTATTGTACAAAAATTTTTGACGTAAAGAAAAATATTCTTTGTAGGTATAAGATAAAAATTAATAGCAAGTGTCGAAAGTATTCATTCTCTTTCTACCTATTTAATGTAATCATAAATTGTGAAACTTTTAAATGTGTTTCTCGGAATTATATTAAAAAAAGAAGTAAATACATTTTTATTAATTTTTTTAAAATAAATAAGTCAGATCGAAAACATAAACATATATAATACATATTTTTGTCATCTGAACGATATCTTTACGGATAAATCAATATTTAAAAAAATCTTTGCTTTATAATTGTTGAAAAATGTTTAAAAAAAAAAATTTTTTTAAATTCTTTTTAAATATATACATACAAAAAATAAAAAAAAATTTTTCTTAATTCAAATATTATGAATTTTCCATGCTAAATGAGACAGATTTCAAGATATAGAATTAACTACTGTATATTAGAGTCCTATATAATTTGCACTTTAGTGCATGCGCTCTTGAATGAAATCTCCTACTTAATCATCGAATAAAACTTTAACTCGCTTAATCGATATTACGGACACAATTTTATCATAATAAATGATGAGGAAAATTCAATGTAATGTAATTATACCGGTTTAAACTTACACATAATTATCTACTAGTACAAATTGCGTACCCTGTGTTAACCTTAGAAAGGGAGTGCAATCTTTTCAAGGATGTGCGATCTACTGTCTCTCTCTTTTTAATCGAATACAAGTGGGAATATAGATAGAAAAGGCTACACCTGTCAAAACTTCTTTTCTCTTGATCGCCTCTTGATTAGAACGCGCAATGTATGCTTTAATAAGATTCTAAAGTAAATAAAGAGTTGGCAATATTGAAAAATCATATACGTTTATTCTGATATTATAACGTCAGATTGATCATCGTACTCTGTCAGTTAAAAGAAAAATATAGACTTGCAATTATCCATGATCAGAGATATGCAAAAAAGTTGTTGAAATCCACTTGAAATAGAAAAATGCTTTTTAAACTCGTTTAAAATAAAAAATGGCAAGTGTGCATTTTTTAATGTTTTTTTTTAATGAAAATAATTTTTAAATATTTTTATATATATTTATTTCTATTCAAATTCTTATTAAAAGGAAAATATAGATTTGCAATTATCAATGTCACATAGATATGCAAAACGGATGTTCAAATCTATTTGGAATAGAAAATGCATTTTTAAAATGTTTTTTTAAAAATAAAAATAATCTTTTTAATCTTTAATATTTTTAATATTTTTATATGTATATTGATATTTATTTCTTTAATTTATATTTTTTACGTTTTTTTTACACATTTATTCTTATATATTTCTTTTAATATAAACTTAAATTGAATTTTATACGGAAAACATTTATATATATAATTATAAAAAATATTTGATTATATTACAAATATTCAATTATTCTTTTAAAATGATTGAAAATAATTTTTCAAAAAAGGAAAACATTTTACACATGATCCTTCTACAAGGTTTCATAATTAGAACCAGTGATGTCAAAATGAGGACGCGACATCAGTGACATCATCGCATATTAATTAATATCTCGATTAATTTTTAGTGCAAGCAAAATGTATTAGAAAGAGAAAATGACTACTGAAAGCTGTAAATGGAAATATAAAATATATTTTTTGAAAAAAATGCGAAGATAGACATTTTACACTTTATATTTCCATTTAAAATGCATCTATATTTCAAATAATCTCTATAAATTTATAGCAAGAGCATTTACCTGTTTCGCTAGCGCCACGATGTTTACAGTGCTCAAAGTGTTCATCTTGACGGCCATTTTCAATGATAGGTCGAACCTGACATTAGCGGCCATGTGGAAGACAACGGCGACTCGACTCGTAAGACGTTCCTTGTCCGTGTCGGATAAAGAGAGTCCTTCCACGGTCGTATCGCCGACTATCACTATCAATTTCTTCAGCCGTTCTGGGAATTGTTCTCTGAGGATCTTAAATGGCTCTTGCTGCAAATTTAATAAATTCCATGAATCCCTCGAAAGCCTTTTCTCGCCTCTTTTCAAGACAGTTTTATAATTTTGCAAAATATCTCAAGTGACGTCATTAGACGTCAAAATGCAGGGATAGTTATATAATTAAAAAGTTAATAACTTTTAACTTAGATTAGTTAATTTTAAATGTATTAATTTTTAACTTCAAATTAGTTATTTTTGACCTTGAAGTTATTAACTTTTTTCCTAAGTTATTTTTTTTTTAAATCTCTGAATACCATTATTGTTTTTTTATAAACGTATCCCAAGTAGAACAGAAGATCAAAATAATATCATTTTGACGTCATACTTATCAAATTTGGAGTTCAAATTTGGTCAATATGACGTCAAATTGACATTATTTTGACTTTTCTGTTCTACTTGGGATTATTTTTAAATTAAACTATTATTAATTTTTATGTTTATTTGTTATTAATCGTAATTACCAAAAATATATTTCTATATAAAAATCAAAATTTCTTTGTTATTTGTTATTATACTATTTTGAAAGAATTAAAAAATAAAATTCTAATTTAATATAAATAATGATAAAAATAAATCTAATTTAATATAAATAATTTTTAAAAATTAATTTTTTTATTAAACTTCAGTTAATTTAATCGTAACTTAACTTTAACTGAGTTAATTTTTTATTCGTGCAACTTTTAACTTAGCTAAATTAATTTTATAAGCAACTAGCTTTAACTTAACTTAATTAAAAAAAATCATTAATTTACTCAACCTTATCAAAATGACGTCTATTTAACGTCTAATGACATCAAAATGATGTACACTTGCTATCTAGAAGGTATTCTATATTTTTTGAAATTTTTTTGAAAGTTTTGGTCAGATCTCTTAGGGAACGTGACTTTTTTTTATGTAATAGATTACAAAGAACAGTAATTGCAATTGTACATTAATTTAGAAATTTATTTTAATTAATTTATAATAATATAAAATAATAATAAATAAATTGTGATAATAGATGGATTACTTTATTTTAAAAAATAAGCATTTTTAACTTTTTTCATGAAATTAGAGTTTTAAATGTTTAATGATTTATGACTTTGTTTACAATTTTTATATAAAATGTTAATAAACTTTACTTTTGACTAAAATTTTATAAATTATAGTTGTAGAAATATATTAAAGATAGATATCAAAATAAAAAACAATACAAAATATTATGTTAAGAAATATTTCTCTAACGAATTAAATAAGTAGGTTAAAATTTAATGAAAATCAAACTTTTCTAAATTTCATATTTGTTAAAATTTATTAAATTTATTAATATTTTCTAAAATATTAGTAACGTAAAAATGTATACAAAAATTTTTATTTTTGAAATATTTCAAGCAATTCAGCAACCAATATGGAGGCGATATAGCGTAAGATGTAGATCTTAATAGAGGCAAGGAAACAGAGAAGGAAACGTGTTATGTAAGTTTTTTGTAAAAAATCGAGATTTAATAAAAACAAGGTGCACATCTCGCAAGGACTTTGCAATCTGCGAGAACTGTTATTCTGTCATTAAATCATTAAAGGTCGCAGTAAGGTCGACATTAAGCGCTTAATCCGTCAAATGTAATTTTAATAGGGAATTATACTTTATAACTGCTAGAAAATGATGTCGATACAATGATTACGGAAATAATTGAAAATTATAAAAATCACATCACTTTTTCACTTAATTATGTTATGTCTTGCTACACGAAAGAAATTATCTTGTGTTTTCCCAACAAGAAGGGATTTCCTCCATATTATGCACGTGTCGATTAGGCAATATTTGAACTAGTAATTTCCTGATCAATTGAAATTGAAAAGTTTTCTTTGGAATTAAATTAAGTAAATATTTAAAAAATAAAATTTCTGCCACAACACCAGATAAAATGTTTGCAATATTTTTTAATACAATGATAATATTATAAATATATTTGAAACAACTTTGAGAACAAAGGTATTTTATTACTGTATACAATTTTATGAAAGTTTTATTTTAAATATTTAATGAAAATTTTTTTCTAAAATATATATTTAATAATATATTTAATAAAATATATTTAATAAAATATATTTAATAAAATATAATGTTCTTTTTTAAATTTGTAATTTTTAATATCCAAAATTGCCAAAAATAGTATCTTGAAAATTATTAATTTCAAGCTAGAAAAGTGTGTAAATACATAAACATATATATGTAGTGTATACATTGTATAATGTGAAGTTGATTGTCTCAGGTTGTAATTAAATCGTCGCTTGATCATGAGTTATACAAACAGGTTTACAAGTGCAATAAACTATTTTTGTGATTTTTTCTTGTGCTTATATATAAACAATTTGCAGTAAACATTGTACGTGTTCTTTTTCCAGAGAATAATGACAATAATAATCGTTTAACGTAACTTTTTTTATTCATCGATTATAATAATTCAATTGGAAAATCCACAATGGAAAAATATAGTCATGATAACGCATTGGAAACATATCGAATCGGTAACTTTCTAATTCAAATTCTTGAAAAGATGAATTGCAATGTAATGTTTCCGAAGCATTTCTCGATTTTGTATGCACGATTGCTTGATTCAAGGATATAAGAATTAATAATTAGCAAACGTCTTGGCACAACGAAAGTTTTGAAAGTTTCTCGAAAGACTGATGAAGTAATTCGAAAATTTCTGATGATTCGCATGATTGATGTCAAGGCAATTCGCGACGGTTTAATTCGTTTACCGGGTATAATAGATACTATAAATTTATAATTAAGCAGTCGATTATCATCTTTCATCAATTTCCGCGTACATTTTAATTGATCATTTTATTCGATCAAAATCTAAGAATATACATGTGTGTATTTTTCCGTAAACGATTGCTTGCAATCATTACGTGTTACTGGAATAAATTATAGACCAACTATATGCAATTGTAAACCGGCTGGATGCACGACAAAAATGCATGTATAAAGAATTTAAAAATTATTTAATAATAAATAATGTATAAGAAATCAATATATATGTATGTGCATGTACATCTCGATTTTATGATTTATTATTTATTAATTTTACTTTTATTAAAATAATTAATAAATGATGAGTAAAAAATTGATATATGAATTAAAACAACCATGTGTTTTCTTTGCAAATCATTTGATTCCTTTCATTATGTTGTGCATAAATGTATGTAAGATCAATTAAGAAATAAATATTTTATAATTTATATAAAATTATGTCATTGAAGTACAAAATATCTAAATAAGTTAATTTTTTGTTATCGATTTATTAAAAAAAATTAGGGTAGTTTCATAAAAAACTTGATTAATCTTCAAATAACCTTGAAAAATGACCTTAGTTAAAATTCAAAGATTCTCAACTTTTTTACTTATCTTGATTTTTTTATTTATTATTTATTAATTTTTTAATTATCGGTTTTATTTTTTATTTTCATTACTTCATTACCTTCATTCTTTTCATCTTCACTTTTGTTTTTGTCCGCATTGCTGCGCATTCTTTGATTGTCGTATTAATATTAATGCCTGGCGATAATTAATGCCTGTTGTTATTCTTCGTAAAGAGCGCGTGTGAGTTTATTTAAAATTTAGAAAAGTGCAATCGCGCGTGTGAATAGTCGCGCTTGGTTTTGCAATACTCGACACCTTTAGCGGATCGTCATTATATGAAGTTGTTATGAAAGCTACGGAATATAATGTGTGAAGAGAAAAATTATAATAAATCTCCGCTTTCGAGGGAATAATCACCACAATAATGCCAGGAAAGGTCTATTGCGTGTCGCATGTTGCTTCATCGTTGATCGAAGTTATTTTAACGACAGCGCATTCGCCAGAGATCGTAATGCGGCTCGTTCTATTAGCCACCTTGACGCATATTGTATGTAAGTTTATACATGTGTTTGCACATATATATGTATAACGATGTATTTGCGCTGAGGTGTTGTTTCTTACAATATTTCGATATTTTTTTTATTTACTCTGATGTAATCAGCGTTGTGTTTACATGATTTTATATTTATTATTATACATTCAAAATTATATTTTTATTTTATTTATATATTTACATATTTATTATATATATATATATATATATTTATTATTATAGTTATATTTATTATTATATTTAAAATTAACTATTATTAACTATTATTAACTACTATTAACTTATATTTAAAATTAACTAGATAAAGATGAGATAAAAATATCTATATTTATCTTAGATAAAATAAATATGATTTTTTTTAATATAGATAATCTAGATAAAATTATATGGTGATTCATCTAGATAATTTCCAGATAATATTATTTTTAAGGCCGTATAAACACAGTCATAAAAAAATGTAAATTAGAAAAGGGATATAAAAATATATTCGTATTTGAAATAAGTTATAAATTTGTATCGCTTACTTTATTTTTATGTGCCATGACTCTAAATCAATTTATTTAAACATTATTCTAGATAATTTAGTAAATATAACATTTTTTTCATTTAAATGTAAGATATAAATAATACATTTTTTGAATTATCTATATGAAGATAAGATGACGCCAAAATTTCATCTATATAATTTTATTTATTTAACAGCAAACAATGAATATAACATAACCGAATGTTATCCGACATCAAATGAAGAAACTTTACATTTACATCACGTTTCTTAATGTAAGATATGTATCGTGTCTATTCTCAGGTTCTCTCTCCCAGGTTCTATATTTTAAGAGTTAATTTCTTTGTCTCACATTAGTTACGGTATTATCCAATTTTATTTACTACCTAATTATCTATTTTTAGATTAGAGAATTAAGCGACCTCCTTTTAAAAATATAAATAGATAATAATGATAAAGCTCGTGTATCGCGTAATTAAAATTAGATAATTTTATTTTATTATATAAATGTTATTTTATTTTTATCGTTATGTTATTTTATTTTTATTTTCTTATATATATAAATTAAATATTATATTAAATTTTATTTTTATTTTTTATCAAAAGTTTAACATATCGAAAGACAATGATAACAGAATGTATATATATATATATATATATATATATATATATATATATATAATATAACAATTCTTTCATTTAAGTATTTGTTTGAGATATTATCTTCTCAATTAACTTCTGCTAATTAGAAAAGATAGAATGCAGCCGCATTCAATGTTGCAACATTCAACACTTTTAGCGAATTCTTGTTATAAAATCATTATGAAAACTATGTAATATGTGAAGAGAAAAATCGAATTACTTATAGTAAATTTTTGTTTACGAGCTCACGATAAATGAAGTTGGAAAATTTCTATTATATTATAAATTGATAAGAACGTGACATAGAATGTTCAAAATAATTTTAGAATATTAAAAGTAAGAATAATTTATATAACATGTAAATAATTTACGTAAATAACTAAAAATTTACACATCTCTGTACATTAATTATTTTTAAATCTTCCATTAAATTTATTCGAATCGATATCATCGCTATTATGAAAGAGGATTTTTGTTCCTATAAAAATTTCATTTAAAATACTACTATAATATTGTCATTACATCATTTCTTCCCTGTATTGATCTATATTGATAATTATGGCTAATTATATATGTGTGAGCGGCAAAAAATGGGATTGTTGCTACGTTAATTTATTACGTCAAAGTATGTAAGTAATTAAGTTGTATACACATATATAAGTTTATTGGAATATATCAAATTAATTAATTTTGTATAAAATTATATTAGTTTTTGTATAATTAATGATATATGGATGCAATATATTTTTCTTTTTACTTCAAAATTTCCTCTCCTTTAAATTTTCCACTCATTATTTTATTTTCTCTCTCTAATAAAATTGAATAAAATTGTGATATACCTGCAATATGATGTTCAATCTTGCTTGCGAATCAGCGCCTTTCTTTCTCCTGATTAATAAAAAAATATCGCCAATGTCAGGACAGCTCAGCAGGAGTTTTGAGATTAGGACCTTTCCCATGAATCCAGTACCTCCGGTGATGAGGACACTTTTGTTTAAAAACCACTCAGGTATCGATGGAAATTTTGCGGTCATTTTTTTTTGAGAGAGAAAGAGCTGAAAAAGATGTATAAACAGAATATTTGTTAGAAAAAAATAACTGGAAATATAGAATGATAGAATAAAATTAAAAAAAATTATGATTTATGTTCCTTATTTGTCTAGTTTTAGAATTTTTATTCTTTACTTTCTATTTTATATATATAAAAATGTTTTTTTATTTTTGTAATTATATCGAAGAAAATTCATATAGCTTTTCGGGGTAAACGTTTTTAACGTAGGCAAACATCTAGAATGGATATTTCATTGTAATTATTGTACTTTATTGTAATTATATTTTATTAATATTCTATTCAATGATCTTTTTTTTCTTTTACAATATGTCAATTACAATATTTAATTAATATTATAAAAAATAATAGAGCCAATATATTACATATTACACATTTAATTAATATTATAAAAAATAATAACCAATATTACATATTACATATTTAATTAACACTACAAAAAGTAATAGACAAGCGTAAATGTTAGAATTATTCACAGTTGTAGAATATAAATTAATAAAAAAAACTAAACAGAACAAAATTAGTAACAACTATGTATGACACAATCAAATAATAAAGAAAAACAATCTGGCCTTTTATTTTTTCTCGAACGATACCATTTAAATTATTATTTTAAAAAATGTTTATTTTTTATTTATTTATTTCGCAATATATATGCATATTTACTAAATTGGACGTAGAAAATTTGAAAAAAAATTTTTTTCACTAAATAAGGAAAACGTAAACGATCCGAACAATTTTTTTTTAAATATCGCAGTACCAAAAGAGCAAACACTATAATAAAAAGAAAAAAGAAAAATCAATTTTGCCATTTATTTTTTTTATAGTTCTCAAACGATACCATTCAAATTGTTAAAAAAATGTTCATTTTATTTATACGTCTCGCAATATCCATACTTACTAAATCGGACGTAGAAAATTTGAAAAAATTTTTTTCACTAAACAAGAAAAACGTAAACGATCCGAACAATTTTTTTTTAAATATCGAAGTACCAAAAGAGCGAACACTATAATAAAAAGAAAAAAGAAAAATCAATTTCGTCATTTATTTTTTTTATAGTTCTCAAACGATACCATTTAAATTGTTAAAAAAATGTTCATTTTATTTATATATCTCGCAATATCCATACTTACTAAATCGGACATAGAAAATTTGAAAAAATTTTTTTCACTGAACAAGAAAAACGTAAACGATCCGAACAATTTTTTTAAACTTAAGTATCGCAGCACCGAAAGAGCGAACACTATCTAGGAGGAGTCGCGACTTGCACCAAAGACAAGTAATCCTCTATTGTTCCATATCGCGAGGACTGTAGGAGCGAGACTGAGTGCCGATACCACAAAGACGATGGCTTTATCCCTGTCGCATGGCTGACAGTTGACGGTCATTCTTATATTGCAAGACTTTCTTGCGATTTTTCCTTCGTCCAGTGCAGCGTCCAGTGGGCGATGAAGGTTCGAGGGACGCAGCAACTTTTCAGGGTCTCGCAAATTCCCTCTTACTTCATCATCCCTACCTCTCCGAAAGAAATATAGCGATGGAACTAACGATAAGTAAATTTCCATTTGGTCACATCGGGATATTTTTCTTTTTTTTTTTTTTTACATATTTAAATGATTTATTTTCTGGAAAAAAAATTCCTTATCAACATTTGGGAGAAATTATTCATATTCAAGTTCCAGTCTCTGATGCTCGCGATACGCTTATTCACGTTTTTATATAATATTCATGCAGAAGTTGAAGTTCGGATTCGAGTTGATATTCATGACATCGCTATTCGCTAGCGGCGGGAAAAAGGACAATGAATTACTCTTCGGGCCTTCTGATTCTGCGACCCTGGAAGGTAGTACTTGATACACAAACACGGCAGTCGATTATTTAAAACCGCTCTTTGAGATTTTTGCAATGAGAGATTTTTCTCACATACCTATGATTTCACTTTTGCATATATATTAAACTTATTTTCTTAAGACACAACCGCAGGTCGCATATTAAACTAATTTTTGTATACATTACAAATAATTAATATTTAGATACAAAAGATTCGAAGAAATTTTATGATTCAACTAGCAAAAATTGCGATAGCTCTTTGATGACATGATAGGTGGTTACTAAAAAAAAAATATTTCAAACACTGATAACAATAATAAAACGGCTAATTATTTTTAAACAGGAGGCTATAGAATAAAAAAATATTAAAGTAAAAAAAAAAATTAACCATTAAAATTTAATATTATTATTTCTTCAATATGTATTATACATATATGTATTAACAATAATTATTTAATGTTTAAGTTTAAAATGATATGTTTCATTCAAATTTAAAATATGTTTAATATTTACTTTACCCAAGGTTGGGTAAGTTAATTATTTTTTTAAACTAAATAAAGTTAAAGTTAATGGCTTATTAAAATTATTTTAGTTACGTTCAAAGTTAAGTTAGAATTAAATTAACTTAAGTTAAATTTAATTCTGTAAAAAATATTTATATTAAATTAAAATGTCATTACTTTAAAATTCATAAATTTAATATTTTATTTGTTAATTTGTAAAACTAAGGAAATAACAAAAATGTTGTTATATAGGAATGTATTTTTTTCTTTGTAATTAGAATTATGAAAAAAATTAAAACTAATAGTACTTTATTTATTTCATAATTCTTGTAAGAATGACATACCTAATAGAATAATGCTCGTATTTTTAATTGTTATTAAACATTTAATTGCCGAATTAAGATTTTATAGAAAAAAATAATGGCATTTAGAGACGAAAAAAATGTTTAATTTACAAAAGGAACGTTCGGCAAGTTTAAAATTCAAAAAAATCTGAAACTTGGCATAATTTTAAAGTAATAGGTTCTAATAACAAAATCATTTTTGTTGATGCTAAAAACGAGTTTCGGAATACAACTAATTGTTAGAAAATCGGTTTTTACATTCCGAAGAAAATATCATCAAAACAAATAGAAATATAAAAGATTTTAATGTTTAAACAAAAGTTTTACGGCTTCAAATGTACTTTACAATGGCGTACTTGGATTTTTAAAAAATGATAAAATTTTTTCAAAGTATCCTCATTACTCAATATTTTTTATATTTTGGAAAAATTTTTAAATTATATATATTTTAAAGTTTATTATGTGTTACGCCAAATTCAATCATGTATAATAAAGTCATGTTGCAGAAATTAATTCTTGAGAAATAAAAGAAAGACGTACCCACTACATTTATTTATTGTTCGCTGATTCATAATGACACTTATCGTTTTTTTTCTTTTTCTTTATAAGTAATTTTTCTTTTCTTCTCGCAATACATATTAAATATGTTAAATATTAAAAATATTTATAGTCTAGTTACATAATATTTTTATAATAAAGACGCACGTTTACTATTTATTTCCTGTCTCATATTGACTTATCCTTTTTTCTTTTTTGTTCATAAGTTCTCTAATAATATTATTCCAATATTACAAGATGTTTATTCTATATATATATATTATTATGATATAATATAATGTATGTATATATGTATGTAATTTAGAAATATTATTTATATTTATATTAAATGTATTGCAAGAAGGAAAGGAAAACTACTTATGAAGGAAAGGAAAAAAAAATAAGTCGTTATGAAACAACGAACAAATAAGTGTCGTAGATAGATAGCGTGCGTCTTTATTTTATTTCTCAAGAACTAATTCCCGCAATATAACTTTATTATACATGATTGAATTTGACGTAACACATAAGCTTTAAAATATATATAATTTACATTTTTTTTAAATATAAAAAAAAATTGAGTAGTGAGAATGTTTTGAAAAATTTTATTATTTTTTAAAAATCCAAGTACGCCATTGTAAAGTACATTTGAAGACATAAAACTTTTTGTTTAATCACTGAAATCTTTTATATTTCTATTCGTTTCAAAGATATTCGCTTCGAAATATAAAAACTGATTTTTTAGCAGTTGGTTGCATTTCTAAATTCAATTTTTTAGCACCAATAAAAAATGGTTTTGTTATTGAAATCGTTCCTTATTGTAAACTAAGTTAAAGTTATAATGGTGTATAAAATTATTTTAGTTACGTTAGAAATTTAGTTAAGGTAAAATTAACTTATGTTAAATTAAAAGTTAATTTTTAAAAAGATATTATTTATATTACATTAAATAAATGTCATAACTTTAAAATTCATAAATTTAATATTTTATTTATGAATTTTTAAAATTTATGTAAAATAAATAAGAAAATAGCAAAAATTCTTTTTTAATATAGAAATGTATTTTTTCTTTGTAATTAGAATTATGAAAAAATTGAAACTAATAGCACTTTATTTACTTCACAATTCTTGTAAGAATGATATACATTATAGAATAATGCTTTTATTAAAATTTAATTGTTATTAAAAGTTTAATTGTTGAATTAAAATTTATAAAAAAATAATGGCATTTATTAGAGATGAACAGAAATTTTTAACTTAGAAAAAGTTAATAAGTTTAAAAATAACTAGTTTAAATTAAAAATAACTAAAGTTATTAACTTTTTAATTTAATTTTTAACTAATTAACTAGATATTACTCACCAACCTTGTAAAACCCCAAGTAGCAAATTGACGTCATTAAACGTCATTTGGATGTCTGATGACGTTATGCGATGTGAAGAAATGACGCATGCTTGCTATCTGGGTATTACCTGGATATATAAAACTAGTTTTACGTCGTTACTCACACAATTTCTCTCGCTTTCTCTTTCTTTCTTTTTCTTTAATATTACTTGTAAAATTAAAGAATATTTTCACTAACAAAAGACTGTCTTTTTGAAAAGTTAGAATAATTTAAACATTGATTCTATACGCGAACAACAAATACGCAATAGTCTCTAAATATAAAAATAATATACACATCTTATTTCAACATTCTGTACGTATATTGTTAATATCAGAACAATTTAAGCTTGTTATTCGTGATTTACAGACTAAATTGTCATATATTATATATGCTTCAACAAACTGACAATGAGCCGTTGTGCAATGTAATGTTGGACAAACAAGCAGACTATTAAAAATACGCATAGCTGAATACAAAAATCATATTAGAAAAAACACATCACAATATTCTGTCATGTTAGAAAAATCTAAAAACTCACCTTTAAAAAAGGTAAAAAAAGGCGACCAGTTAAGGGCACGCCATTAACAAAAATTATCCATTGCAAACCCATGTAGAATCCTATCCTATTGCAAACCCATGTAGAATCCTATGAAAAATTAATCATTGCAAACCCATGTAGAATCCTAGGCAAAATTAACCATTGCAAACCCATGTAGAATCGTACCCATTGCAAACCTATGTAGAATCCTATGAAAAATTAACCATTGCAAACTCATGTAGAATCCTATGAAAAATTAACCATTGCAAACCCATGTAGAATTGTATTAAAAATTATCCATTGCAAACTTATGTAGAATCCTACATTGCAAACCCATGTACAATAGAATTGTATGAAAAATTATCGATTATAAACCCATGTACAATCGTAACAAAAGTAATGAAATAAAAAAAAAATTGCGCCAAGTGAAAGTAGAAACTTGTACCAGTGGAAAATTAAAGTTGCAGACATATATAGAGTCGTATAATGAATCAGTAAAAATTTAAATTTGCAAATGTAGAATCGTACCATAAAAAAACTTATCTTTTAAAAAAAAGATAAACAAGATGCCAAGTCCATGCGCCATGTGAAAAAGAAATAAAAAAATTTTAGTTAAAAAAACTGGGAGCGCTGCTAAATAATATTCTAACAATATTAAAATTAAATTGTTACTTTTAAACTCATTACAGTTTAAATATGTTTTGTGTTTAAATTAATTAATGTTACTTTAAGGTGCATTGTAATTTTGAAACTTAGCAGCGCGCCCAGTTTTTTTAACTAAAATTTTTTTATTTCTTTTTCACATGGCGCATGGACTTGGCATCTTGTTTATCTTTTTTTTTAAAAGATAAGTTTTTTTATGGTACGATTCTACATTTGCAAATTTAAATTTTTACTGATTCATTATACGACTCTATATATGTCTGCAACTTTAATTTTCCACTGGTACAAGTTTCTACTTTCACTTGGCGCAATTTTTTTTTTATTTCATTACTTTTGTTACGATTGTACATGGGTTTATAATCGATAATTTTTCATACAATTCTATTGTACATGGGTTTGCAATGTAGGATTCTACATAAGTTTGCAATGGATAATTTTTAATACAATTCTACATGGGTTTGCAATGGTTAATTTTTCATAGGATTCTACATGAGTTTGCAATGGTTAATTTTTCATAGGATTC